ATGTATGTATATACAAATCTATACACACACACATATACATGCATATATATATATTTGATAAAAAAAATTAAATAAAAAATTTATTTTAAAGTATTAAAACCAAAAAATCAAAAAACCAAACCGAATTATCAAAAATCAAACCAAAATTATGGTTTGCACACCCCTAATTGTATGTAATAAAAGGTTAAAAGAGTCATGAGTTCCATCTATTAGTCAATAAATTAAAGTAGCTAATTTACATATATACAAAAGGAAAAGTTATTTTCTAATGTTTAATAGTTTAAATAATTAGAAAATAGATTATTTAAAAATTTTCAAATGATTTATAAGTTAATAAGTATTTTTTTTTGGTAAAATTAAATTGGAACCGAACTGAACCGCGGATGAACTAGAATTGAACCGAACCGTGAACGAACCAAAACCGGAACCGTGAATGAACCGGCCCGGAACCGTGAACCGGCCCACCCCAAAATCGTGACGAACCGAAACCATGAACTAGCCCGGAACCAGCATGAACCATAACCAGAACCAAACTGGCCTTCAAGGTTCCGGTCCCGATTCATATTTTTCCGGGACCGGAATCGGCATTCATATTTTTCCGGGACCAGAACCGGCGGTCCGGTTCCAGTCTGGGCCGATTCAAGGCCTGTGAACAAGGCTACTGTAAGTACCTTAGTCAAACTTGATGAAGATATTAATGGAAAACCTATAAACATGAAGTTATATAGAGGTATGATTGGTAGTTTATTGTACTTAACTGCTAGCCATCCCGATATCATGTTTAGTATTTATTTGTGTGCTAGATTTCAGGCAAGTCCAAAAGAATCTCATTTGTATGCTGTCAAAAGAATTCTTAAATATCTTTAAATAACTATAAATATAGGATTATTTTATCCTAAAAAAACCTCCTTTGAACTTACTAATTATTCGGATGTGGATTTTGGATGATATAAATTAGATAGAAAAAGTATTAGTGGAACTTGTCATTTTCTTGGAAAATCTTTAATTTCTTGGGCCAGTGAGAAATAAAATTTGGTTGCCTTATCTACAACTGAAGCAGAATATGTAATTGCAGGAAATTGTTATGCACAATTTATAGATAAAACACACTTTACTAGATTTTAGAATTAATTATGAACATATTTCTATTATGTGTGACAATACTAGTGCTATCAATATTTTTAAGAATCCTATTCAAACACTTAAGAACGAAACACATTGATATTAGACATCACTTTCTTGAGAGATCATGTTCAAAAAGGTGACATAATATTAGAATTTGTGAATACCGAATATCAATTAGCAGATATTTTTACAAAACCCCTTAATGAAGAAAGATTTTGTTTTATCAAAAGAGAACTTAGTCTTATAGACTCAAGTATATAGTTAACATTATTTCATTTTTGAAGGGGGAAAATCTCTAAATATTTTTTATGCATATATTAAGGAAGAGCTTATATAATTTATCTTTTTGATGATGTCAAAAAGGGAGAGAATTTACATGATATGTGCTTAATAGATACCTTGTATTATATATTTGTTTTGTCATCACCAAAAAGGGGGAGATTATTAACCTCAAGATTTCATATTTATTTTGATAATGTCAAAACAAATTAAAATTATTATATATGTATTTATAAAATGGACAATATGGACAAATTATAATATTAAATTTATTATTTAACTATATACACTACATATACTAGATTGTAAAACTGTCAAAATTAGACATGTGTGTAATAAATTGATTATATCTTACTATAGAAAAGTTCAAAAATAATAAAGTTAATTTTATATAAAACTATACTCAAATATCTTTATTTTGATATATAATTAATCTTATATACTATTTTATATTAAAACAGTTTATTATATCAATTTCTTATATTGTCTTTTAAAAAAGTCAATATTGAAATCTGCGCGATATTAGTTTTAATTAGTAAAATACAACTTATGATATAAATAAAATTCTAAATTAATTTTATTTGTAAAATAAACATGTTGAGCTTTAAATTCATATATTATATACATGTTTTACACTTATAGATTGATAGATATAATTTTTTAAAGTGAGTCATTCTGCTGAGTTAAACTGTCAGCAGACAAAATGAGTATATTACAATATTTTTATCATATCTTAAAATATAAAAGTTAAATTTGTATAAATCTAATTTTGAATGAAAGTAGACGTTATAAGGTTTTCAAAAATATATAATTTGTTGTTTTTGAATACAAATTCAAATTTCTAGACAATTTTGAACTTGGCCAACAACTTTTGTCAAAAGCAATTTTATAGTTTGATATGTCGTTGAACTTTTGATCATTTCTCTCAAACAGCATATGATAATTCAATGGTTCTTTTTACATTTGAAATAGACTCATTGAGGAGTATTCAAGAATTTTTTAAGATTGTTTGAACGTTCGGAGTCATTTTATTTGAATTTTTGAAACGAGCCAATGTGCAGTTACTATTGACAAATGATTTTGTCTTCCACAAAGGCTAGCGTCTCTTTGGTGTTTTTTCCTATAAAAGGAGCATAGATTGAAGGTAGAAGGACACAACAATACGCTCTCAAAGTCTCCTCAATCTCTCTTTAACTCTTTGTACTATATTGTTTATTACTAAATCAAATAGTGTATAGAGTAAATTATTTTATTCTTGAGAATGCCTCTTTGAAGTGAGATCATTTTTGTACATGAGTGGTAACTAATCCTACTTAAGAGGAATTGCTACATTTCTATTTTATCTTCATTACCATTTCAATTGGTGTTTGAAGCTCACCGAATCAAACATTTTGTAATCGGGATTTCTTACCTCCATCAAATGTAAAAGATTTTATTTGTACTCGAGATTTCTTGCCTTCATCAAATGTAAGAAACTTAGTGGAACCTCGCCGGTTGGAGCTCGAGAGAGTGGACGTAGATTTGGGTAATAAGTCAAATCACTATAAAAGAGTTTGCATTTCTTATCCTTATTCTCTTTACTTTACTTAAAATTGTTTTATAGTTATTATTGAGTGAATTGTATAAATTTATTTGATTTAATATTTTTATTATTGTTTTTAATTTTTTACACTTTTAACTTCCGCAACAAAAACCCAATTTATCCCCCTCTTGAATTGCCTTTTGGGACGGCACTACAAACCTGTTTTTTTAACTAATAATATATTAGTAAATAATTCAAGATATTGTTGGACAAACATATCATATATTTTAATTAAATTTTAACTCTTAATATTTACCAATTAAAAATACAAAAACCTTAAACATACCTCCAATTTTTTTGTTATTGTACGATTTATTTTAAAAGATCAAAACACATGTATCCGCGAAATCCATCAGTGTCTTTTACCTAAATGGAAAACTCATCTTTTATGGATCATTATGCATCAAAGAAAATTAATTATTCGAGAACTAATTATTATTATTATTTATCTAATTTGACAAAGGAAACTTGCAGAGCGCGTTAGCATCATAGCATATTCTCTGTTATGCCAGTTTGACGCAAAACCATTTGACGTGGAAGACGAGAAAACGTAGAGCCAAGAGTTAGAGTTGGAAAGAGAAGGCAGCTTAGGGGACCGCATTGAAAACCTTATCTGAATCTGACCAATGGACTTGCTCACCCAACTGCTTTCCTGTCTCAACATATCCAAAGTTTGTTTTCTGCATCACAATTTCCCTACTGTGACTTAAAACTCAATGTCAATTCATTTGAACCGCACCCAAACACATCCTAAGACTTAATAAAATAAGTGATAGGCAATTATGGCCCATTCTTTAACCCCTTTTCCTGCTGCTACTGCAACACCCATCTCAGCCTCAACTCCTTCCAAGAAGAAGACCACCCACTTGCCCTTTCAAGCATTTCAGAGGGTCTCGGCTTCTCAAGATCAAGCCATAGACCACATATTTCTCTCTCGCAGGTTTGTATATGTATATGCTGCTAACAGCTCCTTAATTATAACTTTTTGCGGCTTGTCTAAGTATTAGATGTTTCGCATTTGTTTATTTGTGGTTGTTATGTATCATTCTCTCTCAATGTAGGACTCTTTGATATGAAATGAATTTGGTAAGACCAAATTCATATCGAGAGTAACTTCCATCTCCCCTCCTCTTTAGTTCACCACTATTAGTATTATTGGACAAATTAATTTTTGAATTAATTGTGAAAAAATGAATGGAGAGAAACCATTCTTATGTGTAAAGTTAAAATGCAAAAGACGTGCCAATCGTGAGTTTAAAAGTGTTAATTGTTGATGCATCCCTTTTATCTTTCGAGGAAACTCACATCCATATTGTAATTGGAAGCGTATACAAATTGTTAGTGGCAACCGAGAAATGAAGAATGCAAAATTAGGGTCTGTTTAGTTTACTTGTTTTCTATTTTTATTCTAATAAAAACAAAAAATTAGATTAAAATACGTTTGATTTGCATATTTTCTATTTTTATTGAAAATATTTTCTGAAAAATGAGTTGAAAATTGAAAATTATAAGAAGTCATTTTTAGTTTTTTTTTAAAAGAAAATTTTGTAAGTAGAAGATAAATACTGAAAATCTGAAGCCATTTTCTGAAAGTAGAAAATACTAAAATCAAACCAAACATATTTCTTAAAATTTGAGATTTTCAAAATAAAAAATAATTTTTAAAAATATAGAAACAAATAATGAAAATATAAAATATTTTCTAAAACCGGCATAAGAAAAGTGGGAAAGTGAGGAAATGGATGGTTTTATTGTTTTTACTATTTTACCCTCTTCCAATTAAATTAAGGCACAATCAAAGTTAGAAATTATTGGATTTTGTGGGGGAAAATTGAAAGTTATTACAACTTGACGGGTTGATATGGTGTGTTTATACTATTACATCATAATAAATATTAACAGCAAAGCTAGATAAACAAAAAAAAAAAAAATGTAGAGATAGGTTGTTAATTTCCTGTTTATCTAGTATACATGAATGTAGTGTACATATGTACTTTAGGTCATATTTTCAGTCATGAAATCTCGAGTGTTCTGGGATCAATTAATAATTAATGAGGGAAGCAGGACTTTTGGCTTGGGCTTGGCCGGTGCAGTACTGGGCCTGAAAGCCGGCAACCAGAGTGCAAGCGCTGCCGCTAGAAGGCCACCGCCGCCGCCACCGCCGGAGGAGAGGAAGGACCCAAGTGTCAGTGGTGTTCAGGCAAAGGTGTTGGCCAGCAAGAAAAGGAAAGAAGCCATGAAACAATCCATGGCGAAGCTAAGGGAAAAGGGAAAGCCCATCGTCGAGCCATCCGAATAGTTCTGCAAAATTAATTCATTTCGACCGCTGCCTAAACGTTCACAGAAATCTTCTTTGATTGCAGAGAGGATATGTACTCTGACGGTGAATATTGTAGACAATGTGGGTTCGTTTTTGTAAAGGATGTTTTTGAAGGAGTTCTAGAGTTGATATATAAACTCGGCAGTCATCTTTAGACAACGTAAAACCACGCGTATTGTATCCTATTCAATGCTCGGATAAGAATTATTAAAATTAGAGGAAATTATGTCAAATGTTACACTATCATTTGGTCAAAGTTAATAGGTGAGATTAATTAAAAAAGATAATTATAAATTAGTTATAAAAATTATTAGAAGATTTCTAATTTATATAATCTTTAAATAACTTTCAATAACTAATTTACAGTTATTTTTCTTTAATTAATTTCATTCGTTAATTTTGACTAAATTAATAATGTCAGATTTAGTGTAAATTTTTTATACTTATACTAGTGTGAATTGATTCTTTATATATATATATATATATATATATAATAAAGTCTTTCATTTAATTTGTAGGCCTTGTGCAATATTGTTATTGGTGATTTTGGCTAAGTTCCAATTTACAAAATGACCACAAATAATTAAGTGTGCATTTCTCAATGAGGAGGGGTTTTGGATTTTTAGATAAAAAGTATAATTAAACTTATTTTATTCAAAAAGATATTTTAAATTTATTTGATTTAATTTTTTAAATTTTATTTGCATATATTTACTTAAATATATAATCAAATAATTAAATTTACTTTATCTAAATTTATTTTTTATCTTATTATTTTCAACTAATTTTTTATGAGAAAAAGAAGTGTCACATGTTATGAATCTGACTCATGAACCCCATGTATTCCTTACCTTAGGCTTAAATCTCCAATGTAGCAAAAAAAAACAAAGTACATTATATAAAATTAAATGATAAAATCTTTCAAATATTGAAATAGTATTGAGGATATTTTAAGGATTAATTTTTTGTTAAATTAAATAGAATTAGAAAAAATAAAATTATAAAAATAAATTTAAATAAATTAAATTTGAAAAAAGTAAATTTAAATAAACTAATTTTGATTATTTGATTATGTATTTATGAGTATATAAAAATAAATTTAAAAAAATTAAATTTGAATAAATAAATAAATTTAAATTAACTTCCATTCATATCTTTTTAACACTGTTAAACTTAGCTGTTAACCAATAAAATTGAATATTTTTCAGAGAAAAATAATATTGAGTATCATTCAAATAAACAAATAAACTAGAATGAAGAAAAGTATCTCTTTCGCCATTTATTTTATGTATTTGTTCTCAATTAAGAGCCTTTCTTACTAGGACCAACGCCTCTATGGAGCATACCAGCTTGTTTGGTCATGGGCTGGATGCCCACTGTCACTGGATAAAGGAGAAGCCCAATACTTGAGTAATTTGAAAACTGACCTATTTTTCACCTTATTCTAAGTCTTGTCTGTTTTTGGTTCCACGTCTTTTTGACTTTGTCACACACTCCCACGCACTTAGGAAACTTGGTCCATGCACCTACACTTTTCCCCTACTTGCCACGTGCCCATGTCACGACGTTTGGGAGACCCAAGGCTACTTAAGAGCCAAAACTAACTCAAACCCCTCGTAAGGCATACTAGTAAGCCAACCACTTTCACTCTTATCACAAAAAAGGGTAAGGCTTTTAGTCTAGCCTTAATACTCCCAAGCTTACTTTCTCACCTTCACTAAGTCCTTTGAAGATGCTCTCAAAGGCCTTAGCCAACTCACTTAGACACTCAAAGGAATACAAGAGAGAGAGAGAGAAAAAAAAACACTCTTAGAGAGAGAAAGCACAAGAGACTATTATTGCTCTCAAGCTTGGCTTGTTTGGTTTGTTACAAATGGGAAGGGGAGGCCTTTATTTATAAAGGAAACCAATGGCAATTCTGTAAATAATGCAGGATTCTAGAAGACTCGGGCGCACGTGGAAAGATCGCGCTGGCACGCGCTGCGCCCCGTGGCGCAGTGCTCAGCGTGAGCGCCACATGCCTGGGCGTGCTGCAGCCCAGGGGTGTAGCGCGCTCTGGGCACGCTCCAGCGCGCTCTTGGCACGCTCTTGCGTGTGCTGCCCACGTGCCTGGCATGTGCCTATCTGAGCTGTCATCTGAGCTGGCAGCTGATCTGTCATGCCACGTCTACACCGTTTGCCACGTCAGCAACCAGTCTGCCACGTCAGCTGCATCTCTGGAAGCTTCCCTGCCTGGGTCACTGTCTAGAGCGCACTGCGCCCCGTGGCACGGTGCAATGCGCCTCGAGTCTTGCGCGCCTCGGGCGCTCCAGTGCTCCGGTACTCTGCGCCTTAGCTACTTCCCGGTGGCTGCCCTCGGTCCATCTCCCCTTGATGGTTCTCGGATGACTTTGCCTTGATGCCCGGCTCTCCTTCAAAATTCTCCCCCTTCATTCCCGGTTCCGACTCTCTCGTTGGCTACCATGCTCCTGGTTGGCGTCTCGTTTATCTCTCTATGAGTTGGGTCTTCAACATCACCATGATGCCTCCTCCAGCACCGCCTCGCATCGCGACGCGCTCGAGTGAACGGGCCATCGCCATGGTCCGTTACACCCCATATCTGCACTTCCCTCCAAGCCGTGAGTTAACTTCACTTGCCACGCATGCTTCTTCCTTCTTGGTGCCCCACTCGCGCAGTCCTTCATGCTGCACATGAGACTCATGTGCCTCTTCTCTATCCCTAGTTCACCTTCTGCAACTCCATGGGGATTCTTTCTCTCACTTCGGCTCTACTTCATATAGCAGGCAAAACAAGTTTTCTTCTTCCTCGGCTACTCCAACTGAATAGAGCAAAAAGCTTCAAGAGCCTCTATTTCTTTAACTCGACCCCGAGAGCTCAGAACCCAAACCAAAAAAACATAGACACAAATGTAGATGGATGGAAAACAAGGAAGAAAGAAAGAGTGCATACACAAACCAGATTGCGAGAAACACTCACAAATTCTCCTACCTTTATAAACCCTATTGGATTTAAACAAATAGCTGTTCACGAACAAGGAAACTGTGTAGGCGCCCCGTGTTTCTTTTTTCTTATCAATGCACTACAGAATATAGAGGGAACACATGCTAATATAGAGACCTCCTAAGGCTTCATCTTTGTCTTTACTTTTCGGATGACAGCCCTCATCTAATAGGTTTGGATCCTCACAACTCATTTCTTTTGATTTGAGTTGAATCTAGTTAATTTTACATACTAGTGCAAGTTTTGCAAAATCTGAACTATCTATTGTGAATCAGATTTGAACCTATCAGCTTCGAATCTTCTGCATAACGATGCTTGTCCGAGATCTTGCCTTATAGTTTCTGAGATTTCTGCTCCTCATTGCAAATCTGGATTAGATTCCTTATCACACTCCTTTCATCCTTGGCCAAAATTGTTGGGAGCACAATCATCTACTAAGGCTCCAATCCAGCTCACTAGCGTCGTTCCCCAAATCGATAGCCTAATCTGGCCCTATCGGCATTATCGGTAGTAGTCGACCTTTTTAGTGAGCTTGCTTTGGCCTTCATCCTTGCAATTGGCTTGCAACAAATCTTCCTAATCTGTCTCTGCTATTCCCAACCTAAATGCTCATGACCTAGATCCAAGGTTCTACCTGATCCAGTCGGCTTTGGCACTTTGAGTTTTGTCCACTTGGGTCGGCTCAGTTTGACCTAGGCATATGAGTTAGGGGCTCGGCCACAGTAGTTGGCCCAAGCAAATGGCCTATGTAGTGCTAACCCAATTCAACGTAATCTACCCTCAACTCGGTCCATTAGTTGTAGCCTAATGATTCTTGGCCAAGTCTAGCACCCTTGGGTCCATCCTTTTTAGACTTGGCCTAATCTTATCAATCCCAATCCAATTGGCCCATTTTCAGCAACCCAAACCTAGCAGCCTAGATTCAATTCTTTGACCCAATCCAAGTAATCTTTTTGCCCAATCCATTGTCCCTCTTGAGTTGGACCAATCCATGCCCAAAGTGTGACATTGGGACTAGAAATAAATTAGTTGCATATTATTCATGCATGCTTCATTCATTTCTTCATGGCATTTGTATGAAAGAATATTTTAGTAATTATTTTAAAAGACATGAGAAAAAAAAAATCTTAATAACTTTAGAATTTAAACCCATGTTCACAAATCAAAAAATGGAAAATAAAACTTCAAAAAAAAGAAGAAAAAAAAAAAAATAAAAAATAAAATAGAATTATTATGTGGGCTTATTTTGCCCATACTTAGGCCACCAGCCCAAAGGGGATAAGAGCAGAAAAAAAGGGGTTTACATGTGAGGGGCTTTATATGCCCACATAGACATTTTCTTGAAACTTTTTAGGCGTAAGAGCAAGGAAAAAGAATTCAAAATGATATAAAAAAGAAAACAAAAAAAAAAAAACACAATTATGTAGGGGGCAGGCTTTAGCTCCTAGATGCAACACCACCTCAGGGAAAACATATATCCCCTGAAACTTTTAAACCTGCGAGAAAAACAGGATCTGGCAGGCAACCAAGGACCAAGAAAAGAGAGAAAATAGGAGAGAAAAGAGAGGAAAATCAAGGCAATAGGTAAGGGAAATTGTTCTATTCATTTTCTTATTTTATTCTCATGAAATTATGCTAGATAATTTAGTATTCTTGCATTTAATCCCATTTATGTTTAGAGAAAAAATAAATAAATAAATACAAGCTAAAAATCTGCCAAAATTTTAGAAAGATTAAATTTAATCTCAATTGACAAATTGATGGAAATTAGAATTAAGTCTTGTTTTTGGAATAATTATATGCTTCCAGGGGACTTAGTGGGAGTTTTATTGGTAGTAAGGGAGCTGAGTAGGGAGGAATAATTTGGTTAACATGGAAAAGAAAAAAGAGAAGAGATATCCACAATTTCTTGTTCATGGGCGAAACCTGCAACTAATCAAATCTACTCATCAATTAGTTTTAATTAAAGGAATGGGCA